TAGGTTAGTTTATGTTAATTTTCTTTGCTATCAAAAGACAGTATTGTCATGGTTTTATATAGTCAGTGTGTGTTTAGATTTACCTACATATTTATCTCTCTTTTGGCTCAGTTATTTTCCTACATCTCAGACTTTCTATCTGGTATCACAGGTGGCTTTAGAGATCACAGGATTATTGTCATTCTTGTTAATAGAAAACCAAATCTATAAAATATTTTAAAGAGGCTTACTCTGACCCAACAGGAGTGACCACAGCCCAGCAGTTGGGTCGCAGTTTAGTTTTATATATTTTAGGAAGACAGAAATTGTAGGTAAAATCATAAATCAATACATGGAAGGTGTACCTTGATTCATCCTAAAGAGGTGGGATATCTTGGGGGGGTGTGGCTTACAGGTCATAGGTGGATTCAAAGATTTTCTGATGAGCTACTGATTGAAAGAGTTAAGTTTTGTAAAAAGACTTGATGTCAGTAGAAAGGAATGCTTGAGTCAAGATAAGGGGTTTGTGGAGGTCAAAGCGCTTATTATGTAGATGAAGCCTCAGAGGTCTTATCCCTCAGAGAGAATATGTGGTAAATGTCTCTTTTGAGACCATAAAAGTGTCAGACTCCCAGCTAATCTCTCCAACCCAGTGAGAAAGTCCTAGAAAGGGAAGGCCTGGCTGCATTAATGGAGATTCTGTACAGATGCAAATTTCCCCCTCAACAGATTACTTTGCAGGGCCATTTCAAAACATGTCAAAGAAAAATATTCTGATTTCCTTCAGGGTCTCCTATCTGTCATGTGATGCTGTATCAAAGTCAGGTTGGAAAGGAAGCCGCTTTATGCTGGGATAATTTTAAAAACCTGTTTTTATGCCTATGATCCCATCACTTTGGGAGTCTAAGGGTGGGAGAATCACTTGAGTTCAGGAGTTTGAGACCAGCCTGGCCAACATGGTGAAACCCCATCTCTACAAAAATACCAAAATTAGCCTGGCATGATGGCTCATGCCTGTCTTCCCAGCTACTCAGGAGGCTGAGGTGGGAGATCACCTGAGCCCAGGAGGTCATGGTTGCAGTGAGCCCACATTGCACCACAACACTTCAGCCTCCAGAGTGAGACCTGGTCTCAAAAAATAAAAATAAAAAATAAATAATACCCCATTTAATGAGATTTTATGGTTTGTGGGGTGTGACTTAACCCCTGGCTCGCATGACCTTGTGTTTATAATCTGTTATTTTATTGCAATAAAGAGTCTGTTTTGTCAGATCTGTATTTTTACCTAAACACCAAAAGGGAGGGGCATAATGAGGCATGTCTGACCTCCCTTCCTCTTATGGCCAGGAATTCAGTTCTGTAGGTGTCCCTGGGATCCCTTTGGCCAGCGGTCTATTCAACTGGTTGTGGGGCTCAGGATTTCATTTTTGGTTTATATTCTCCTAATGGACTTCCTACCTTCAGCAAGTGCTAGTCTTTATGTCCTATCCCTTGAGTCTCTTGAGTTCAAAACTAATACTAAAATTTGCTCACCAGCAGTTCCAAAGTTAAAATTTAGCTTCAGTGCTCTATCTTTCCAAGTTTTTGCTTACATTTTGATCTGCATGTTCTTTGCTTTCTTGCCAATTCATTGCTTTGTATTAAAGATTTTAAAATACTTTATCATTCAAAATTATTTTTAGAGAAATTGCCTATTAGAATATGAAAACAACCATAAGTCAAGAAGTAAAAATCCATAACTAAATTTTAAAGTGATCTTTAGGGCTGGGTGATGTGGCTCATGCCTGTAATCCCAGCATTTAGGCAGGCAGAGGCAGAAGGATCCTTGAAGCAGGAGTTCAAGACCAGCTTGGACAACATAGTGAGACCCTGTCTCTACAAAAAAAATTAAAAATTAGTTGGGTGTGGTGGTATGTGCCTGTAGTCCCAGCTACTCAGAAGGCTGAGGTGGGAGGATTGCTTGAGCCCAGGAGTTCAGGGCTGCAGTAAACTATGATTGTGCCACTGCACTCCAGCCTAGGTGACAGAGCAGGATCCTGTCTCTAAGTAATTTTTTTTTTAATTTTGTTTAATGATCTTTTGGTTGGAATTCTCTCATGGGATTTTTGGCAACCTTGAATCATCATTTTCCAAAATATATTCTACAACTGCTTTTTAAAAAAATACTTAGTGAAATTGAGTTTACAAAGGCATGTTATAAGTAAAAGTTTAATGCCGCAAAGGAAATAGCACTTGAAGATAAATCCTCTCAGCAAGGCAGTTTACTTCTATAGAAAGGTGCAGCTCATGGATGAAGCAATGGTGGCTGCAAGCTTGCACAAGGAGGGAAGGGGTACTTATGCCTGATGGAGGTCGTCCCTACTGCTGTGTTATTCCCCTGTTGGCTAGGGTTAGACAGGACAAGCTAGACTAATCCCAATTGGCTATTTTAAAGACAGCAGGGGTCCAGCTGTAGTGGCAGGGTGGGTATTTTGGCAGGAAAGTTACGGTTACTGGCAGGTCAGAGCAAGTAGCCAGGGATGACCTAGGTCAGAGAAGGTGACTGCAACAGGTGACTGGGATGATTCAGGATGGAGCCAGGGGGCTGAGGGAACAGATGGAAACTACTGATTAGAACTGGTGGTGAAGGTTGTTTACTGGAATCACAAGGAAGTTAAACTTTAAAACAGAGAATTAAAAAATAAGAGAGCCAAACATACTGACATACTGATTCTTTGAAGAGAAACTTGGGGTTCACTATAACATGCTACATACCAAATTATCTTCGTAGAGTCACAGTTTAAAACCCTGCAAGATCCTGCATTTTGTTTTTGTTTTTTTTAAAAAAAGAAAGGAAAACTTTGTTTAATTTTGTTTACCCAGCATTTCCCCAATTCCCCCCAAGCAACAGCTATCAGTACTCTACAGAGCTAGTATTTTGCAGAATAGTTTAAAGAGCTCTCTCCACTCACCCTCCCCCGACATCATAAAAATACTCAGGAAGTCCTGAGTCTTCCTTGCAGAACCAAGCTTCTTTTTCCTCATATGTTTTATCTGATGATATCATCAGGGATCTTGCTGTTTAATATACCTTTTAGATATTTGCTTTTTATGATGTTTTCAGGGTCTAACTCTGCCTTAGAAATGGGGACCATATTGACTACCAGATGTATCTCAAAGTCCTCAGTCTACTAGTGATCTTTCTTTTTCCTCTCTCTCCTCCACTGATTTTCCCTTTCAGTGTACTCCGGACCCTTCTAATTCTCAAGAATCAAAGTATTGGGTAAAATCTCACCATTCATCTAGTCAAGCCCTATTGAGATTAATTAAACAATACATTTAGACAATAACTCTTTAAGTGGCTTTTTTTTTTTTTTTTTTTTTTTTGAGACAGTGTCTCTTCTTTCTGTATCACCCAGGCTGGAGTGTCATGGTGTGATCATAGTTCACTGCAACCTCAAACTCCCAAGCTCAAGCGATCCTCCCATCTCAGCCTTCCAAGTAGCTGGGACTACAGGCATGTACTGTCATGCCTGGCTTTTCATTTTTTTTATTTTTTGTAGAAGCAGAGTCTCTCTATATTGCCCAGGCTGATCTTAAACTCCTGGGCTTAAGCATTCCTCCTGCGTTGGACTCCCAAAGTACTGAGATTATAAGCATGAGCCTGCACACCCAGCCCAAGTGGATATTTTATTGCTCTCCTTTCCAACCTTGAAGATTTATAGTCAGGGACTTTTGTTCTACTCACCTTGTCCCTAATAATGTCAGAAGTTGTCAGTGACCTCTTATATTCACCAGTTTCTCATGGTTTTTTTTGTGTGTGTTTTTGTCTTTGTTTTCCAATATTCATTTTACTAAACTTCCTCTAAAGCATGTAACACTATTGGTCATTACCTCTTAACATCAATGATACCATTTTCTCCAGTTCTTTTTCCACATCTTGATTTTCCCTCACTCCCTTTACATAAATATATATCTTTCCCAGATTTCTGCCTTAGCTCCTTTTTCTCATTATTCTCCTTAGGTTTATTCCTTTATTTATTCACTTACACATTTCTTCAATAAACATTTAGTCAAAATGATGAGTTAGTAAAAAGTATTATTTTTAGCATAATATAGGAAGCTTGAACCTATCTTTTACTTTTTTTTTTTTGAGATGGAGTTTCACTGTTGTTACCCAGACTGGAGTGCAATGGCACGATCTCGGCTCACCGCAACCTCCGCCTCCTGGGTTCAAGCAATTCTCCTGCCTCAGCCTCCCGAATAGCTGGGACTACAGGCACACACCACCATGCCCAGCTAATTTTTGTATTTTTAGGAGAGACGGGGTTTCACCATGTTGACCAGGATGGTCTCGATCTCTTGACCTTGTGATCCACCCAAAGGGCTGGGATTATAGGCGTGAGCCACCGCACCTGGCCATTCTTTTACTTTTTTATTTTTAATTGGGTCCCAGAATATGATCCATTTGAGAGTGACTTTTTACTGCAAGGATTTACCTTATAATCCTTTTTTTTTTTTTTTTTTTAAAGACAGGTCTCGCTCTGTTGCCCAGGCTGGAGTGCAATGGTGCCATCTTGGTTCACTGCAACCTCTGTCTCCCAGGTTCGAGTGATTCTGCTGCCTCAGCCTCCTGAGTAGCTGGGACTACAGGTGCAGGCCACCATGCCTGGCTAATTTTTGTATTTTTTGTAAAGACAGGGCTTCACCATGTTGCCCAGGCCAGTCTCGAACTCCTGAGCTCAGGTGATCACCTGCCTTGGCCTCCCAAAGTGCTGGGATTACAGGCATGAACTACTGTGCCCAGCCTTATAATCCATTATTGTTTCAGTAGTCATTGCAATAGAACACGCAGTAAATTCCAAACTGTTTTTCAGAATTGACAGCACATGAAATTCAATTGAAAAGTCTTTTAGTTGATCCTAGTACCAAAAGTACTAGTGCAAGAAAGTTTTTTCCTTTTTCCTCAGGTCAATACTACACCCTCCCCATCCACAGCAATATTTTGAAATAGGCAAAGATTATCTGTGGTGTATTCTCACTTTCTCTTCTGACTCTTCCTCCTGTTTTCTAGAGTGCTTGTCTCTGGCACTAGTGTACTTTGGCAGCTCTAAACCTTCTGCTGCTCTCCTGGTCAGGTCTCTTCTCACCACTCTCACACTCCAAATTGGTGCTGGAAGTTCAGATAATCCATATTTTCTACCTAGAGAATAAAAGGAAAGCAATCAAGTACAAAAAGGCAGTGTCTAAAGGAAAAAACACTACACTGATGATGATAGGTAGATAAATCTAGATTCCAGTTGTGGCTATATGCCTGACATCTATGCCTCTTTTATCTGGAAAGTGGAGGAATTACACTGGAATAATTGATGTCTAAGGTCCAAGCTCTATAAGTTTAAAATCAATTCATGCAAACATGTAACATAACTGATGGATGAGGAGTTTTGATAGAGATAGCTACATTGTCTAAGGTTAGGGCTTTAATCACTATTCTTGGCCCTTTAAGGAAATCAATTTCAGCTTTTGAACCATTGTGAACCCTGTTCTGGATTCTAGCTACATTGGACCCCACTGCCAGATAGAGGAAAGCCTGGTTAATATAACTATATGAAAGTATCTATCCACCTGGCACAGTGGCTCACACCTGTAATCCCAGCACTTTGGGAGGCTGAGGCAGGTGGATCACTTGAGGTCAAGAGTTCAAGACCAGCCAGGCCAACATTGTGAAACTCTGTCTATACTAAAAGTACAGAAATTGGCCGAGTATAGTGGCAGATGCCTGTCCTACCAGCTACTTGGGAGGCTGATGCATGAGAATTGTTTGAACCCAGGAGGTGGAGGTTGCAGTGTGCCAAGTTCATGCCACTACACTCCAGCCTGGGTGGCAGAGCAAGACTCCATCTCAAAAAAAAAAATTATCTAGCATAATGTCCTCGCGGTTGATCTATGTTGTAGCATGTGTCAGAATTTCTTTTTAAGGCTGACTATTCCTTGCATCTATGTGTGTGTGCTTGTATTCCATGTTTTGTTTATTCACTTATCTGTCGACAAGACACTTGGGTTGCTTTTACCTTTTGCCTATTGTGAAGAATGCTTCTGTGAACATGAATATACAAAAACCTGTTTGAGTTCTTGCTTTCCATTCTTTTGGATATATGCCCAGAAAAAGAATAGTAATATACAGTAATTCTATATTTCTTTCTTTTTTTGCATGTGGGGAATTGCTATACTGTTTTCCACAGTCACTGTGCCATTTTACATTCCCACTGAGATTTCTTGACCCTTCTTATTCATCAGCATTTCACTCAGTGGGTTTTAGAATCAGAATCAGTGATATATCTTATCTGATTTTTTTTTTTTTTTTTTGAGATGGAGTCTCGCTCTGTCGCCCAGGCTGGAGTGTGGTGGCATGATCTCGGCTCACTGCAACCTCCACCTCCCAGGTTCAAAAAATTTTCCTGCCTGAGCCTCCCAAGTAGCTGGGATTACAGGTGTCCACCACCATGCCCAGCTAATTAGTAGAAACAGGGTTTCACCATGTTGGCCAGGCTGGTCTCGAACTCCTGACCTCGGACAATCTGCCTGCCTTGGCCTCCCAAAGTGCTGGGATTACAGGCATGAGCCACCATGCCTGGCCTGCAGGATACCCTTTCTATATAACAATATGAAAGAAAAAATACCTCCAGTCAATTATAAGATGATCCCAATCTCAGAAATGTTAAAATAAGCAAAAAATGTATCTTAGACTCAGTGGAATACAGTTGGTAAATATACTAAAACCCCCTCCAAAAAATATTTTGTGTAAGTTATACAACTTAACACAATCTTTGTAGAGCAGGAAAGTAAAGGTAGCTACTCAGCAATAGTGTATGCAAATACTGTCTCAAATGTACTTTTACCTTATTTATTCATTTATTTGATTTATTTTTGAGATTGAGTTTGTTCTTGTTGCCCAGGCTGGAGTGCAATGGCAAGATCTCCGCTCACTGCAACCTCTGCCTCCCAGGTTCAAGCAATTCTCCTGCCTCAGCCTCCTGAGTATCTGGGACTACAGGCACACGCCACCACGCCCAGCTAATTTTTGTGTTTTTAGTAGAGACGGGGTTTCACCATATTGACCAGGATGGTCTCAATCTCTTGACCTCGTGATCCGCCCGCCTCGGCCTCCCAAAGCACTGGGATTACAGGCGTGAGCCACCGCACCCGGCCCTTTTACCTTATTTATAAAACAAGGGCTTCACGGACCGTTTTTTCCCCGAAAACTTACCTAGCTGTGCCTTACCTAGCTGGGCAATCTAGAATAAAAGTAAAAACCCCTCCCGTTGAATCCTCTGCAAAATAAAAATAAAAAGGTAAAAGGTAAAACCCCATAGGACAGTAAACAATGTATCCCAGATGTTGGTTCCCATATATTTGTGATTTCTGGTAAATATCCTAATGCTCATTTGTCTTTGTTTTGCTTAAAGGATTGTTCAAGTTTAGAAGAATATAACATTGCCGCAGCATTACTCCCTTTGACCAGTGCGTTCTATAGGGTAAGTTTCATTGGTCCATATATAACCTCGTTGTGATTTACATAAATGTATTCAGTCTGGTTTATTATGGAGCTACATGAATCCTATCCTCTTAGTAGTATGCCTAAGATGTATTTGTGGTTTTATTTGTTGTAACATTTATTGCATGCTATGTATAGAAAATTTAATATAGAACACTAAATCATCTCCTAAACTAACACCCACACCCATTACATGCCTGCCTTAATTTTTTTTACAGCACTTTATAATACCTGAATTTATGTTATGTATTGGTTTGTTTACATGTTTTTTCTCCATCACAGAAAGTAGATTCGTGAGGCTGGGATATGATCTGTCCTCTTTTCTGCTGTATCCCAGTGCCACTTAGTAAATATTTATTGAATGAATGAATGACATAATTGAAGCCAGAAATTAAAATTTAACTTCACTGGTAATTTCTGTGAACGTTCTGAGAATTTTCTGGAATGTTCAAAGTTATTTTTTAAAATTCTGTCACTTATTACAGTTCTCCTATCTATGCTTTTTCATAAATAGATTCGTTCTTATGGCAGACAAAATCAGCAAATTTCTTTTCCCATGAAGGACTTGTAAAGAATTATATAACCAAAAATTTTTTTAAAAAAAGAAAAAACAAGAATTAGATAACCAGCCATACTTGGAATAATGCATTTAATACATCCTTCTGAAATATGCAATAATAAACAATAAATCTGTGATGGCAGCCAGCTTACTATTCAGCCACATGCACAGTCAGCTTCAGGAGACAATAAGTTAGTAAGTTTGGTATCTGCCGTGCTGTTTCCAGTGTTAATCGTACATACTTATATTTTAGTGGTAGGCTTGGATTTGATGTTTTGTGGTTGGCATGGTTTGTTGTTGGATGAGTTTGTTTTGGATTGTTTTGATTTAGGGGTGAATTAGTCAAGGTCCAATCAGGAGCCCAAAATTATACCAGTAATTTGAGCAGATAAATTTTATTTTATTTTTATTTATTTTTTTGAGACAGAATTTTTGCTCTTGTTGCAAAGCAATTCTCCTGCCTCAGCCTTTCGAGTAGCTGGGACTACAGGTGTGTGCCACCACACCTAGCTAATTTTTCTTTTTTTTTGTATTTTTAGTAGAGGTGGAGTTTCACTGTGTTAGCCAGGATGGTCTCGATCTTCTGACCTCGTGATCCACCCTCCTTGGCCTTCCAAAGTGCTGGGATCACAGGAGTTTCACCATGTTGGCCAGGATGGTCTCGATTTCCGTCAGGAGATCTGCTTGTGATCTGCTTGTCTTGGCCTTCCAAAGTGCTGGGATTATAGGCATGAGCCACCATGCCCAGACAAGTTTTGTATTTTTTTGTAGAGACAGAGTTTTTCATGTCACCCAGGCTGGTCTTAAATTCCTAGACTCATGCTATGTGTCCATCTCGGCCTCCCAAAGTGCTGGGATTACAGAAGTGTACTACCACGCCTGACCAGAAACTTTAATATAAGGAGTTATTAAGTAGTAACAGGGGATTAACTACTAAGAGGTAGAGGGAATTCTAAAGAATACAGGAATACAATATAGGGAGTAGCTACTACCTCTAGGGCTCAGGTGTAGTACCTAACGAAGTAGCAAACTTGGAAGAGAGCCCCTCCCCAGATCTAGGCTGATTCAGATCATGTGAGAGAGGTGTTATTATGGCCAATGGATGGCACAGAATTTCACCAGACCAGGACTGTCAAGCAGTAAACTGCCTGCTGGAGTGCTGGCAAGACGTGCTAGGAAGCCACCCACTAGAATGGCCTTGAAACTTCTAGGGTGCCAGTGAAACTTGATGGGAAGCTACCAGCTGGGGTACCACTGAAACTTTATAGATAGTGAGCACTGCCACTGTATTCCCAGACACCATCAGCAGCTACCTACCACAGGAAGCAAGGAGAAAGTACACCAGAACCAGGAAGAGAATCCACTTCCTACTGCAGTGTTCCTTCAGCACCTTTACTGGCAAACCTTAATATTCTGCATTTTGGCAAAGGGGAAATGTTTATAAGGGCCAGTTCCAGTATCACAAAGCAAGATAAAGAAAGATAGATTTGGAAGAAGTACTGCATTGATAACAGAGTGATTAGGTAAGGTAGATCACACTGATTCTTAGATATTTCTAAATCTGTATCTTTTAGAAAATTATTTCTAGTGTGTACTGGATTTGTTAATTCAGATAGTAGATGTAAATTGCATTATCCTTGGCACAAATCGCAGATTAGCCATCTTCATACTGTTCAGCCAGTATAAACTCCTGGGTCTTGCCAGCATTGCTTCAGAGAATTGACTCAGCTCCTTGTCTTGTTTAAATTTACTTTTAAAATATTTTAAATAACATATATTAATTTTTTTCAGTGGAACAAAAGTTTATTGAGTATCTCAATATAAAAACCTGCTATAACAGGCAACATCATGGGCAGCAACATTAATAAAACATTGACATGGTCCTTAGGAATTTATATTAATAGTCTTTCTAATACTGCAGATAATTTTTAAAAATTAAACTGGTCCACAATGCCACCAACCAGTTGGACATTATCTTAAGTAAAAGAGATATGTGTATATAGGTAGAAAATCCAGATAGTACAGAAAGGAACAAAATGCAAAGTAAAAGTTCCCTTTCCCACCTTCACCCCATTTCTTCTGAACCATT